TTTATTCTATTCTATTCTATTCTATTCCATTCCATTCCATTCCATTCCATTCCATTCTATTCTATTCTATATTCCATTCAATTCCATGTTTTATTCTATTCTATTCTATTCTATTCCATTCCATTCCATTCCATTCCATTCCATTCTACATCCCATTCAATTCCATGTTTTCTATTCCATTCCATTCTACTCTCTTCTACATTCCATTCCATTCCATTCTATTCCATTCCATTCCATTCTATTCTATTCTACATTCCATTCAATTCCATGTTTTCTTTTCTTTTTTATTCTATTCTATTCCATTCCATTCTATTCTACATTCCATTCAATTCCATGTTTTCTATTCCATTCCATTCTACTCTCTTCTACATTCCATTCCATTCCATTCTACATTCCATTCAATTCCATGTTTTCTTTTCTTTTTTATTCTATTCTATTCCATTCCATTCTATTCTACATTCCATTCAATTCCATGTTTTCTATTCCATTCCATTCTACTCTCTTCTACATTCCATTCCATTCCATTCTACATTCCATTCAATTCCATGTTTTCTTTTCTTTTTTATTCTATTCTATTTTATTCTATTCTATCCTGTTGTGTACAAAATGGTCAAAAGTCACTTTTCCCCCCGTGCCATTGTAACTTTGAATGGTCACTAAAGGGATTGCTGTAATTCAAGGACTACCTGTATGACGGAAGAGGAAAATTATACAGCACATAGCTGGAGAGAACCGTCATGTTTATACTTGATTTTAATTAAACATAAATAATACATAATCAAAGTTCATTTTTGTTTTTGTTCCATCTATTTGTTGGCTTGCTGCTATGCAGACAGCAGACACACATCCAATTGGTTATGTGCCATCAAATTGAAGTTGACTCTTAGGAACCACATAGGTTAGACTAGATGACATCCAAGGTCCCTTCTGCTATTCTGTTATTATTAACATTTCTAGAGCAACAAACCTATCAAATCAGCAAAACTTCAAGTTTCATTTTTTTTCCTCACCTCAGGCACAAAGTCCAGAAGTGGTTTCCAAGAAAGAAAAGTAGTTGGAACAATTTTCTTTAATTAAAGCAGTCAATTTAGCTATCTGCTAACTCCATCAGCATTTTTCCTATGATGAATTTGGTCTTTGAGAACTTGATGATGGAGTTATCACCACTGTAAGTGAGTCAATCCACCTTGCTGATAGTCCTCCTTCCTTCCTTCCTTCCTTCCTTCCTTCCTTCCTTCCTTCCTTCCTTCCTTCCTTCCTTCCTTTTTCAAACTTAAAGCCTTCTTCAGAGTGAAGGAAAAGTCACAAAGTGAAGAGAAGAGTTGTGAGCATGCAATGGTCAACCCATTGTGTAAAATGAGTTGGGACTTTGATCTTACAGTCATGGCTGCCATCTCGACCTTATTAAATTCTCCCCTCCTGTCTCCAAGAGCCCCCTCACCCC